CTAAGGTACGGTATCAATGTATAATGATGTTTTATGTAAAGCAACATTAATTGCTTCATTTTGTTCATATTGTGTAACATCTCCTAAAAGACCGATATATTAAAAATTTGTTTCCCTATTCTTTCAAAGTTGAACAAATAAAAACAAAGGTAATCACTCACGGAACATTGATATCGTGCACGCATGTAGAGGAAATGATGGTATTTGAGCAAACAGACGACTGTCTAACGATTGGTGCCGCTCTTACACTTACGGATGTTGCCGAGCATCTGAAATCATGTACATTGTCTCCATCAGGTTTGTATTTCTATGAATGTACAAGAAGGGTTTATCAATGATATTACAACTTAACAATATGAGCATTGTGATTAGCTTCTTTGACGTCTCCATACGCTATTTAACACGAACAGCAGAATTAAAAGCCAACAAATAAATTATAACATATGAATCTATTATAAATACACAGAAGAAGTTGTTAGGTAAAACTTATCATATTTTACAATGTGTGGAAAACATTATATCAGATTTTGATTGATGTAAAGTTAAGTAAATATTTCTGTGTTATGCGCGTGTTAATGAAACCAAAACTTGTGCGTCTTTGAAGAAAAAAATGTTATTTTCAGCATAGACCGGAACTTGCACATTAACGAAATAATCTCATTACATGTTATGAATATCAAATATATGTTAAGTTATATTTTAGTGAGTTTTGTGTTAAAATCAATATAATTGTAAATAAAAAAATACAGAACCTTTGAAGCATTAAGAAGTTCTTACATACACAGTTATAATGAATGATTATTTATTTCCTACAATGTATACATTTTATTTTCAAAAAGGACGTGACCTACGCGGTCACGTAGTTAAAGCTTTACAGGACAGTCTTCGATGGCTAGCCAATCAGCAGATAAGGAACCAAGCAGTAAGTTATCATAATATTATGACAATACAATGTTTTCATCCATATGTATTAATTTCAGCATATTGTATTGAATAGCGTTCTGATCATACCCATGTCTTAAACATCATTGATCTTAATAAGGAAAACAGAATATCACATTACTGAGTTAAAAACCTTTCCACCGTGACTAAATGCAGCCTAAATATGTAATGGGGGACATTCCAAAGCTCTTATGGAATTTCATTGATAACTTTATTTTTGTAAAAAAAAAAACTATTTAGGTCGCAACAATGATGTACTTTGGTACAATTGAACTGTTTATGTTCTGTCTATCAGACTCTCGGAGGTCACGTGATGATAGGAGACCCTCGTTCTGATCTCTGTGTTGTATTGATGGCGGCTGGGGCGACGGCAGTTTTTGCTTCAAAAGGTACTATTTTTCGTTACAAAAGCGCAAACATTATTAATTTCTTTTATAATAAGATAAAGTACAAGTTGTGGTGTTGCTTTCTCTCTGAGTTTAGTTTGATTTGTTTGTTTGTCTTGATTCCTGTAGGTGTTTATACAGAATCGTATACACTGTATAAACATATTACAACAAACGATGGTGTGATAAACATAAATGTTATAACAAGTCAAATATTCCCGATGCTTGACGCAGAATGAAATAGTTACCAATTAATAGTAATTAATAATGTGATAGGCACACATTTATTTGATAATCGTTCCAATGAAGCATTATTTATCTTAAATCTGAAGAAAATTGGAATTTTGTTTTGTGATACATTTGAGTTCATAGATGTACAACACTTGAATGTTATGTCTACTTTATTCTGACGTTAAAGATCAGTATAATGCCTTAGCAAAACCAGAAACGTGAGAACATGCCAATCAGAATGAGAAAGACTCAATAGTAATGATATAATGATGTATGGAAATGAAATCATGCAAAAGTGTCTTAATAAAGGCCTACAACTGGTGGCAGAGCAAAGCTATACCCCTGTGTTTTGGTTTACTGTAGGCGGACACAGAGAGATAGAAATTGACAACCAGTTCTTTATCAGGAATGGGATTACATCACTTGATCGGACTAATATTTTGGTATCTGTTAAGGTACCAATTATTCCTGTGGTAAGTCGATCTCAACATCAGTTCTGATCACACGGAAGCAGCAGAGTGCACTCCTTTCAACAGCGCAAATAAGTATATAGTATTGTTTCTATGCCAGCTTTAGTGAGTGTGGCTCCATTGATGACCTCAGTATTTGTTTTGGAAGCGTCCTCACCACCACAAGGAAACTTGTCAGTGCCTCTTCACTGGTAAAGGGAAGGTAATTAATTGTATTGAAGGGTTCTTACACGGAAACGGTAAATATTTCACAGATAAATATTCCAAATATATGTAAACTTGGAATAACATTTAAGTTTAAAATAAAAATGTATATATGAAATGAATATTTAGTTATATGAACATGGGATAGTGATATTTACTGAGAAGAAATCAAGTAAAAAATAACTTTTTCATGCTCATATGACCAAATATTCACCGAAATAAAAATGTGATTTAAGAGATAAAGCCATGTCGTTATATTATTAAAAGACATGAAACAAAAATAACAAAAAGGCATTGCTTTATGCACAGAGCATTGTTGAAGTAACGTCATAAAACTATTGACCTGCTGTTTCTTAAACACGAAACACTGAGTCAATATCAAACATCACCGCTCTCCACGTGATTATGATCCGACAAATAAGGATGTTGGAAAAAGTAGTGTAACCTAATACTTGTTGGTACAGTAGATTGCAAATGGTGCTCATGTACTGGTAATTCCGTATTCCTATTCCAGAACACCTACGTTGCATACTATAAACAGCCAAGTAGCGGCTATAGTGTTCTAAGCGGGTGTTTCTATGCCAGCTTTAGTGAGTGTGGCTTCATTGATGACCTCAGTATTTGTTTTGGAAGCGTCCTCACCACCACAAGGAAACTTGTCAGTGCCTCTTCACTGGTAAAGGGAAGGTAATTATTTGAATTGAAGGGTTCTTACGCGGAAATGGTAAATATTTCACAGATAAATATTCCAAATATATATAAACTTGGAATAACATTATATAATAATTAGCCAAACAAAAATGTGTGCTTATTTCGCAGCACTAAAAACACTTTCTTTTTATATTGTTTTATATTAAAAGTCAATAATAGAAAATATTTTTTCATTTCTTTTGAACTGTACATTAAATATACTAACGTAAAAAGGATTTTGGTCTATTTTTGTTTTATGAAGATGCCCAGATGACAGTACACTAGCTTTGGTATGCGATGGGATAGTACATGACTTTGAGATGGAATCAGGGGGTACTGTCAACAAGTACAAACAAAATCTAGCCTGTGGTTTTATTGTCAAGTTCTGGAGGGAAATACGAAATATACTTAATCCTGTAAGTAGAATACACATAATGTAGTTTTAGTTTTCATTTTATGTAACTTAAAAAGCAGTTATATGGCTTAGTATTAATTCCAAATAATGTCGTCGCGCTTATCAATTATTTGTTGACATCATTTGTTGACAAGTTGGTCGTACATGTAGTATGTTGATTATGACCGTATGTTAAGTCAATATTGTAAAGATGGTCGATCATGTTACCTGTAATCTTGTGCTTCATTACCTGTACACAGACTCAATAAATAAAACTCACAGAACAACTCGCAAAATGTCCACAGTAGCGAACTCCATATTATAATCCAAATTGCATTAGTCCGAGAAACAGGATGATATTGGTCTCCTGTGGACGCCGTGCGAAGGTCAACAAGTGTACCAGGCGCCATCTCCAGGACAACCAGCGCACGACACTGTTGGATGCCCTGTTCCTATAGTTGCTAGCCCGGCGCTAGTAACCGGAGAGGCCATGTTTCTGGACGATATGCCAAGATTTGAAAGTAAGACACCTTTGTCTTATTTGTGTTTAATGTAACACTTGTAATCAGATATATTGCGTTTGATACTCACTCGGCTAGGAACGCTGACTGTGTTTTTATCGAATACCTCTGAAAACCACATGGATTGCATACAAATAACGGTGTTACATAATTATGTACGAGGCTACTTCCTATGTAGTATTTAAATGAATTCTTTTAATACATTATTGAATTATAGATCTTATATTTGAAGGGTAATTCCTATTTTCCAGATGAGTTATACTTGCAGCCGGTTTTGAGTACAAAGGCTCATGCCCGGATAACTTGTGTTGATAAAAGTGTTGCCATGACTACTCCTGGAGTTGTAGACTTCCTGGACGTTTCATCAGTACCAGGAGAGAACCTATGGGGACTTTTAACAAATGATGAACCAGTGTTTGCTGAAAAAGAGGCGATTTGATATTCACTCTTGAATTTTTGCCATATTTGTAATATTTATTGTTTTCTATGATTCCAATTCTCTTGCTAAGTAACGAGATTCGGAGAAGTATATGTCATTGACTAACTGCACGTGAAAATAATTTAGTCATCAAAATAAGTTGCTTGTAAAAACCTGCCATGAATATTATGCCCACTGATAAAGTTAATATTTTATTTTTTATGGTGAGATCGGTAATTTTTATTTTATGCCTATTATAACAATTTCTGGAAAATGGTTTTCACAGGTGTTCTGTGTCGGACAAACAATTTGCGCAATTGTAGCTACATCAGAAGAATCTGCCAGGAGAGCTGCTGATCTTGTTCGTGTCACGTATGTGGATCTACCAAGTATACTTACAATCGAGGTAAACTGTCATAATGTGCAAAATTGTAATTCAAAATATTTATACCTTTTTCAGCAATGACTATTGCAAAAGTGTCAATAATCTAAATGTATAATGGTTAACTTTTGTATATGTTTAAATAATTATATTGCTGTTAAAACAACATGAATCATTTTTCTTCCTATGGATAATTATGACACACAATGATGCATTTGCGAACCCATTATGTTAGGCCTCGTTGTTTGTGCGACATTCATTCTATGATTATATTGCACCTTTGTTCCTTCATTTTATATAATCCCCATGTTTTCCATTTAAATGTTTATTTCATATTAACACAAGATTTGTAATATTCTAACATGCCTCTTGAGCAGGTCATTTAGCCTAATCAAAATAGATTATTTTGTGACCTTTCGTGAGAGTGTCTTCTCTATCAACCTTCTTTAAGTTCCTTTCATTAATACGCTCAATATTCGCACTAGGATATTACACATTGTTTGGCAATCAGTATCATCGGTCTTCTCAGCTATATTTTTAGAATAAGTTAAACAGTACATATTGATTTTCCCCGCAGTCAGAGTGTAGGATTCCTCACCACCACCACTCGTTGGGGAACCTCTATAACACCAATGAATAGAATGACAGTAATTGGGTGTAGAATAGAATGACAGTAATTGGGTGTAGAATAGAATGACAGTAATTGGGTGTAAAATGAGAGGCGTCTCCTCTCTTGTTGTCAATTTGTAGAATTATATATAAAATTCTAATAACAACTTTATTTTTATATGACATTCAACGGTGACTTACGAATGTGACCTCATTTTTCACTGACTGACGGATGAACACTTGCATAGCCTTTATTGCCTGAGGGCTTCTAATGCAAAATTACACACGTAGGTTTCCCTTTTAACGATTCATTCATCGAAGTGTCACGCATTATTTTAGGTGAAAATATACCCGGAATTTGTAAAAATATTTCTACGATATATTGAACAAATAGATGATTAATCTAATAATAATAATAATAGTATAAGCTAGACATATGCTGCTACTAGCTAATAAATCAGTTATATTACAAACGTGACCTCTATGCTGATGGCTTTTTTTTTATTATTAAAATATGTTTACGATTTGCAGGAAGCTATAGCAGCCAACTCTTACTTTGAGTACAACTCACATCCGATAGAGTGCGGAGACCCAGACAAACATTTCCCACATTGTGACTTTGTGGTAGAGGGCCAAGTTCGGTCAGGATTCCAGGAACATTTCTACTTAGAACCAAGTGGGGCACTTGTGGTACCGAAAAACGAGTCTGGAGAAATGGAAATATTTACAACATCACAATCACCCAGTTTCTGTCAGGTAGTAGTTTCCTGGTCTCATTACACCTCATCAGTTAAAATGAACATAACATTTCTGTATTGAAGTAATCATGTTTTCTAAAGATATGTTTAACGATGTCACCACCATCGTCATTGACAAGTCCAAATGATATACGTTTGTATAAGCGGTTGTATGACATAAATATAAGGTTATTCAATTAATACTCAATTTGAATAATTGGGATATTAAATATGATTTCCTTTTAATATTTATAATTATTAAAGTAATGATATATTTAATTAACCAATTTTCTAAGACACAGTAACCTTGTTACATGTTTCCAGTCATCTGCCTCGCGGATTTTAGGAATCCCGATGAACAAAATCATCGTCAGACAGAAAAGACTTGGTGAGTTAAGGAGTACTGGCACATTTATAAGTTTTAAATCATTATATCGTTCATAGCAGCATTTGTTCGCACTTATTTATTACGAATAAATTGTTGTTGTTTTTTACATATATATATACCGATGTCCAAAAAGATTAACATATTTTTCTTCAATGCACATGAATAAAAAAAAATATTCTTCAAGATGAGGATTAAAATGAAAAATATTATATCATGTATTTGTTTACATGTTAAAACTACAGGTGGTGGATTTGGAGGACGAGAATTTCGTACACCTTTAGTGTTTGGTCCATCGGCAATAGCAGCTCACAGGTAAGGATATCGACCGTTCAGAATGGGAGCAAAGTATAATAATGTGTGATGTTCATAGGTTGTTGAAGATGTTGAAATTTAAATACCATATTATATTAAATACATTTACAGGTTGGGAAAACCTGTGCGGTCAATAATGGACAGGTCGGTTGATTTAAAAACTACAGGAAAGCGCCACGAGTTCATGTCAGCATATAAAGTAAGCTATTTATTGAAGTGGGTGTATCACAAGTTTGTGTACATACATTGTAATGTAGATTATATGCAGGAAAAGAATGAATCAATTACTAAAATAAGTAGAAGAGAAAAGGGATATGCATAACACAGCGTAAACACACAATATAAAACGACGTCAAGAAGAAAACCAAACATAAAACGAAAATGGCACCAACTATTCCGGAGGTGTAAGTCATTAAGTACAATTCATGCGACAGTCATAACGTTTCCCTTTAAATCCAGAAAAGTATATTGGTCACTCATGGAATTTGACAGGATAATTCATTCTGAATAATATGTTTGATACACATATTTGTTCTAAGATAACAACATTTTTTACCGTTTTGGTATTAAGCTTAAATTGCTAATTTGCCTTAGGCGGGTTTCCGGCGTGACGGGATGTTGGAGGCTGTTTCCATACACATCTACATTAATGCCGGGTACACTCTGGATGCCTCATCATTGGTATGACATAATTTCTTAAACTGAACATGCTGTTAAACTGAACAATCTTTGTTAGATTTGAATATCGTTCAATTGGTATATGTTACCACGATATTTCATGAACAGGTTCTAAAAATTCGAAACGTAAAAAAAGCTAAATTCAAAAAGGGCAAAGATTATCATAACATCATGCATTACAATATACGTCTATTTTGTTGCAGTGTAATAAGTGATCAATAAATACATTGGTTCTCTATAAGTTGAAAAAAACAACATTTTTTTTACGTATTTTAGTTGTAGTTATTAAAATATCTGTTTAAGGTTTTAGAGAACGCCAGTATTAAAGCAGACGCGGCCTACAAAACTCCTGTGTTTGCTGTATATGGCCACATCTGTAAGACCAATATTCCCTCTAATACCTCTATGAGGTCGTTTGGCGCTGTGGAAGCTGTCTTCGCTATGGAGGTTATTTTATGTAAAGTAGCAGACACCGTTGGGCTCGATCAGGAACATGTATGTTTAATTTTATTGATTCTGTTTATTATAATTCTATTAACTACCATTTGTAAGTTAATATTGTCATCATTGATCAATATATATATCCATTTAAAAAATGATAAAACCGATTGTAATGTTTATCCAACAGCGATGTGTTTAGTGTAAATTGAGAAATTACTTAACAATAAATACGATTACGTATTTTAAGCCTAAACGTGCGCTTTAACGAGTATTAAGTGTAAAGGACAAGGGCCTGTTAGTGTCATTGTAATACAGATAACATATTCAATACTTACTTCTTCAAAACTATTTAGGCACTGCTCGTAGTGGGACAGAAATGTTCGCTTCTCGCAATAAAGAAGGACACAATCGATTATATTGCATATTCCTGATATCTAAAATGAATGACAAAGAAAACCCTCATAAGTCATACCTTTTTAATCTTCAGTACCGTCAATCGTATTCTATCGTATGTGTTAATTATAGTTATCGATATGCTATATGAACAGGTTCGAGAACTAAACATGTACAAGGAAGGAAGCCTCACTCACTTTAAAAGGAAACTTGAAAACTGTATGTTGCAACGTTGCTGGCGGGAGTGCATGCTTCAAAGCAAACTTGGAGAAAGGAAGACGGCGGTTAAATTATATAACAGGTAACAGTTTCTCAAAGAACGAATAAAAAATGAAAGTCATTTTTACAACTGACTGACATTACATTTCAACACAATGCTTTGATAAAGAAATCCAATGGAATTGTTTAACAGGTAGGGTTTATAAATGTCCTCTCCAGCATTCCAGGTTCAACATACAAGTGTTAAATGAAGTGAAATGGTATGCCCATTACTAACGATGTTTGGATATTTGACGCATATGATTTAATCACAACGCAATCACAAACCAATGTTTGCATAAGGGTGGAAAGTACAAGATGACATAAAATGTATCTACATGTATGTATATTTTATACAAAAATGTATTAGGGTATGCTCAGATTACATTGAGAATAAATACAGCGAAGTTTTGGCTAATGTGAATTGATGTATACATGCAATGACATTCGCAGGGAAAGCTATCTGCTTTAATACACTTGTATCTGTGGTTACAGCCAGAACAAACACACCAAGAGAGGTATCGCCGTCATGCCCTTGAAATTTAGCATAGGGTATCATGTCCGTTTCTTAAACCAGGTAATAGCACGCATTTAAACATTCACATGACAATAATCGATTCTATCTTCACAATAACGTGATATTTTTAATTAGATTACGGATATGAAATGAAATATGCACCGTTACCGGTTCCTGGCCGTCGTTGTTTTATATTATTCTGATATTTAAGGGGTAAAAGGTTGGAATTGCATCATTAATCTTACTTTGTGCACTTAACGCTTTTTTGGTTTTATTTCTGATTGTGTGAAAGTGAAAGTAGAAGCTTGAGGACAAAATTGAGTTGAATCATTTTATAATTTACTGCAAAAACCCTCAAATTATATAGCGATATTGATATGAGCCTTCGAATGACGTCAGTCTGTTCACCCCATTCTTGAGCTAACTTAATAATACCACTGTAGCGAGCAGATTAGAAAAAAATAGTACCTACCAACCGTTGTTAACACAGTTCAATCACAACCACAAACAGTCAGTATATTAGAATGACAACTATCATATCAGAATCATTTTTCTGCAATTCAAACAAACAGTAAAAGCATTTATAAAAGTTTCGTTACTTATTTGTAGGGGGCGGCTTTGGTAAACATCTACCTTGACGGATCTGTGATGATAGCTCATGGTGGAGTGGAAATGGGACAGGGGCTGCACACGAAGATGATCCAGGTATAGTTTGTATCGTACATGGCTCATACGACATATGAAGTGTTTAAAATACTGCAATATAGTTTAAATACGAAGGTTCAGTTTGTATAAATATCACATACATGTTTATGCTAGGAAACAATTAACAGTCATTTATAAATGAGAGTTTTGTGACCTAAATATGCGTTCTACTCAAACAATGATGGTCACTGGATAAGTCGTATGGTAGACAGTTACAGGATGCTAAATTATTTAATTATAATAAGATCATACACATTTTAAACAAAGAATTTACTTATAAACGTGTACAATTTTATGTTTAGATTGCACAAACAGCGATATTACTACTCAAAATGTAATGCCGTTATCGTTAGTCTACCACTGGAAGGCGGTACGCTAGACCTCCATGCAAACTTAAAAGAAAACATTATCTACGAGTAACGTTAGCTTTTTGAGACTACACTTTCATAAGCTGCATTCTTTTTGCAGGTTGCGTCCCGTGCTTTAGACATACCTATGGATAAAATCTACATCAGTGAGACTGGCACAAATACATGCCCAAATACAACCGCTACATCAGCCAGTGTGTCGTCTGACCTACATGGCGCAGCCATTCTGGTATATTTTAGAGAGAAGCTTTATTAAAAGGATCCAGTTGATAGTCAAATATATATAAATATATTATGTTTTCATTTGATCAAGTAAGAAAAAAATATTATTTCTTTATTTGATCAAATTGAAAATCCGTGCCTTTATTGCAAGAAGCTTAGCGTAGAGAACATGCAATTTCGAACTAGCTGTATACACTGTGAAATGACATGGTAAGATGGTTACGTATTGTGTTCGTCTAAAATTTCATGTTTATAAATCTTCTCGACTAAAATCGTCTTACCAGAGTATATTTTCCCTAAACAGAAAGAACATAGCCGTTTTATACATTTCTCCAACTCTAGGACGCATGCAGAAAGATCAATAAAAGGCTAAGGCCATACAAGGAGAAAGATCCGTCTGGACAATGGACATCATGGGTAAGTACAGGTTGTCGAAATTTGAATGAAAATAAACAGTTATGTATCGTGATATTATCCGTGAAAGGATTGCCATCATTAAAACTGTGTTCATTCAACAAGACTTACCAACTGTATACGTAGTATTTCCATTGTGTAAGGCGACGTTAGCTTTTGGCGAATACAGATTTACTTGAGAAAGGCGAATATTTCATTTGAGAGAAGTTTCCCGGTATTGAACATCTGAAACCGATACAAAAATTATGACAGCTGTGTCATTTATTCATCAAACTCATATGTATACGACTATTCTTTTTAAAATGTATTCATTGAATAGTCGAAAGGTTAATATTGATCTTTTGTTTATATAAATCCTGTGTGCTAAGTTTTTGTACAAAGACAAATGTTAAATAAAAACACGAAACGTCCTACACGATTTTAATGCTATTGTATTGATGTTTTATTCATTTAATACTTAAGAGGCTATGGCTTGTCTCGATCTATGACTATTTTGCGTGCTACAAAGATGCATGTTCTATAGTAGCACAAAACCATATCTCACATATCTCAATGTCATTGCATTTATGTTATATATATCATACATATATGTACGTCGTTAAATGCATTATTGTATAAACTTCCGAACTGCAAATGTGAGAAATACAACCTTACTCTGAGTGTGACTGACCAATACCGAGAAAAACAAACTTACTCTGAGTGTGACTGACCAATACCGAGAAATACAACCTTACTCTGAGTGTGACTGACCAATACCTGTATCGATTACTATTATAGAAGTAATCATTAGCTACATGTAGCAATTGATATCAACTAGATGCAATCAATTAACATTCTTCTCCTCGCCATTACAGATCAATCTGGCTTATATGGACAGGGTGAGCCTTTCCGCCACCGGATTCAGCAGGTAGTATATCATTATGTTAGGGAAATAGATCTCTTAGTGCACATCATTAAACAGTTATACGCCACAGTTCGATCGCAGCTGTCGGCAGAATAGCCCGCAATATGATAAAGAAAGTTGAGTGAAGTTCAATATAGTTCGGTTTAAGATATATTAGAATAAGGAGCTGATGTATAATGTTCCCAAACCCCCAATGAAGTAATATTTCTGGCAATAACCAAGGAAGTCAGATTTATAGCTGTTTTCATTATTATGTTTTGTAAAAGACCAGGAAATCAACAAAACGTTAAGGATGAGGGCAACTTCTTCCTCTACTACACTTATGGGGCAGCTTGTACGGAGGTGGAAATTGACTGCTTAACTGGGGCACACCAGGTGGGTAGCAGTTACAATACAATAACACCTTCTTTAAATGACTAAATCTATAATTGTATCTCTATTAACTTTACAAAGTTTAATGGCAGCCTCTCTCTCTTATTGTAAAGGCTTCGACTTTGTTGTGATTATGTGCAATTGTAATAGATTCAATAAAGGAAAACATATTTCTGACAATAAAAAGATGCTTTGTTTCTGTTAAATTTTATGCATGTAACCTCGGCGTTGACCATTTAAAACCAGTTTGTATTGTTTCATGATTTCGTTAGAATAATACACAGAAACCTTTGCAATCACAATACTACATGTACCTTTTTATTCAAAGACATGTTTTCTATGTGAAGTTTTTTTAAACAGTTGTGTACATTTTAAGCAAATGTTTATGATTGTTAATGTTTTTACGTTTCTGTGTGAAATGCAGGTGCTCCAAACCGACATCGTAATGGACATAGGAGACAGTCTGAATCCGGGAATAGACGTGGGACAGATTGAAGGTGGGTTCGTACAGGTACGTATTGACGTAGACACTGAACCCTGGTATAAACATAAAACAAAATGAAGGTGGGTTTGTGAATGTTCTATTGAAAAGAAAGTCTGAAACCTCGGGTAGATATGTGACAGAAAATATCTAAAATGGCTAATCTGCATGATTCAGGGATATGGATGGGTCACAATGGAGGAATTGAAAATCTCCCCTGAAGGACATATACTAGCTAGCGGACCAGTCGATTACAAAATACCGAGAGTAACGAATATCCCACGTCAGATGAAAGTATATATACTCAAAGATTGCCCCAGCACCGGTACCGTGTATTCTTCAAAGGTACGGCAAAACAATTTGGATTTATTTATCTAATTTAATATTTTTCACGTGACGAAATTTCACTTTGCATTTTTTTATATTTTCTATAATATCACTTGACGTAATACGTATCGAGCATGCGAGATGATGTTTGTATTTTTTAGGTTATGTTAATTGTGCGCTCATTTATGTAATATACATTGTTTTGTGATGAAATAGCCCAATTGTGATCGGTAGAGATGTTTAAGAACCATTTGCGACGTAAATAATTTTATATTGTGCTTCATTATAAAAATATCTTTGATATTTAATAGAATTAAGAAAAAAGAACAATGCCCTAAACCAATGTCAGCTTTCTCTTCTGCAAACCACTATTAACATACATTTATATATGTTCTTTTTGAAAACATTTAGCATGCAGGGATTTCCATTATGTATGTGCAAAATCTATATAAAACTACCCACTACATTATACTCTTTCTTTTATAACAGGGTGTCGGAGAACCACCCCTAAATCTGGCAATATCGGTTTACATAGCACTGAGGGAAGCAATCCGAGCCTGCCGAATGGACGTTGGAATCTCCAGTTCATTCGACCTTGATATCCCATTAACTCCCGAGAAAATCAGAATGGCCTGTATGGTTAAGATTCCCACGAATAAGAATCAACTCTAAACTACCGGAACAAAAGGATTTTCACAAAAACTAACTTTGTGGACACAAACAAGTTGTAATCGTCTAGTGCTGTAGATATAGTACGGACTGTTCATGTGATTGGTGTGTACTGCTCTGACATGCTGTAGATATAGGACGGACTGTTCATGTGATTGGTGTGTACTGCTCTGACATGCTGTAGATGAGCTACATATATGACTAAGAAATTGTGCATGATACAGTTGAACGTGGTAAAGAAACAAAATCCCATTTTCAATTATCCATTTCGTTACCCTAGATTCCTCCATTTTTGGAAAAATTAAACTGTGTTGTGTTAGTGTGTAAGATACTTCATATAATTTGACTTGTTTTATCTGGATTTACACATAAAAATTATAAAATGTCTTATGCCCATAATTTAACAAAATAATAGTCATATTATGTTATACCCTCAGTATTTCCCATAACGATCATATATTCACTGTTACATTGTAAGCAGATTAGCGTAAATTCAGTTACGTCTATATCCAAATTGATGCCGACGTAACTACATTGTATTCTACCACGTCTGTGATGTAACGACGGTTTTCATTGGTTAAAAAGGGTGCATTATTGAGCGATATACCATGCGCGTGCCAATAACAAATGCACGTGAAATAGTGCGTACGCATGCTGTTCCAACAACCTCCCCGTATTTTATCATGAATTAACAAAAATAGCATAACAGTCAGGCGGGATCAAACTATTTGACAGGCCTGCCATTCAAAAGATTACACGGATCTATAGACCTACAGTATATGGGTCCGTGCAGTGAAAATGATTTATTAATTATTGACATTTAAAATGTACAGGTCTGAAGACAAAATGATAAATTATTATTTAATTACTTCTGTTTACTCCACTGGGTAGTGCCGTACATTTCACGATGTGTGAAGTGTGTGTATGTACTGTCAAGCGTTGATTTCATGTTTTGACGAACGATGTCGATAGCGTGCCAATGTTTGATTGAAAATTTTTCAAAACACATTGTGAACTCTGATCTAGATTTTCTACTGGGATGTGTTTATATACCTCCCGAAAATACTAAGTATGCATCCCCGGAAGCGTTCAATGAAATTGAAAGGGAGATGATAGAATTATCCCATCATGGTAACAAAGTCGCCATAGTCGGAGATTTTAATGCTAAAACCCAAGTTAGAGATGATTTTGTAGAACCAGATGATAACTTCATTCGTTCATTAAACTTAGATGAAAATGATGAGCTATACTCATATCTCTATGATATTGAAAAGTTGAAATTATATAATGTTCCTCTGCGAAGGGCTAGTCAATGTAAAGCTAAAGTTAATAATTATGGCAATAAATTGCTTGACTTCTGCAAGCAAAATAATATGTATATTGCCAATGGTCGGATTGGAAATGATGCACAAATAGGTAAAACTACATGTAGTGATGTCAGCGTTATAGATTATCTATTGCTGTCGTCAGATATGTTTCGGTATACAACAGATTTTGAAATCAAAGTTTTTGACCCACTCATATCAGATGTCCACTGTAGACTTGTATTTAGCCTTTGTAAATTAACTGATGAATGTATATATAATACCGAATGTCATGAAAATCGATATACAAAGTGGAAATCCTGTAAAGAACAAGATTTTGTAAAACATATACTAGATGATGAAAGAGGTAATCTCCATAGAATTAATGATAAATTAAATGAATTATTAAATAAACAACACGACAATGTAACCAATAACGAAATTAATGACATTGTAAACTCAATTAGTGAATTGTTCAAAGGCTCTGCTAAGCAGGTTTTTGGTAGTAACAATGCTTACAGGAAACGGAGGTTGAGATGTGATAATAAACCTTGGTTTAATAGGGAATGCCACTTAAACAGAGTTGAATTTAATAAAGCCAAGGCCTTATTTCACAAAGTAAATAATCCTATAAATAAAACTAATCTCAATAGAGCTAGTAAAGTTTATAGAAAAACATTGAATAAAAATTACAGAAATTATCAGGAGAAATTGTCAAGCGAGTTAAGAAATACTGCTAGAATGGATTCAAAAAAATTCTGGAATATTTTGAATAAATGTGACGGATCTGTAAAGAAAGGTAATGCTGATATATGTATTACTGAATTATATGAATACTTTAAGGATCTGAACAAGTCTGTTTATGATGATGACGATTTTGAGCTGGAAAATCCTGATAATAGTATTTTTGATGATTATCTGAATGGTGAAATTACCACTGATGAAATTAAATTTTCTTTAATCAATTTGAAGAATAGTAAAGCCTCTGGTATAGATCAAATCCTAAATGAATATCTAAAAAGTACAATGGATGTATTTTTACCAATTTATCAAAAAATATTTAACCTTATTCTGAATACTGCGTCTATACCAGATGTGTGGAAGATCGGTATTATAAAACCAGTATATAAAAACAAAGGCGATCCAAAAGATCCGGATAATTATAGAGCGATCACTTTAGTCTCGTGCCTTGGCAAAGTTTTCACTTCGGTTATTAATAATCGTTTAAATAAAATTTCTGACGAATTTGACCTGATAAGCAGTGCACAAGCTGGGTTTAGAAAGGGTCATTCTACAACCGATAACATGTTTGTATTGTATTCTTTAATCTCAATATATTTTTCATTAGGAAAAAAACTTTATTGTACGTTCATCGATTTTAGTAAGGCGTTCGATTCTGTATGGAGAGTTGGTCTGTGGAAAAAGCTCCAAAAAAGCAACATTACTGGAAAAATTTTCAATATTATTTATAAGCTATATGATAAAACCAAATCATGTGTTAAAAATGGATGTGAACAGTCGGATTTGTTCAATTGTGAGATCGGTTTAAAACAGGGCGAAAATTTATCGCCATTTTTGTTTGCAATTTATTTAAATGATTTAGAAACTTATCTTGTTGAAAAAAATGTAAATTGTCTTCAAACAATAGACAAATTATGTATTGATAACATTGGAGTGTATCTCAAACTATTCATTATCTTATATGCCGATGATACTGTCCTGTTTTCAGAAACACCAGATGGTTTACAGTTAGCTTTAAATGAATTTGAACAATACTGTAATACTTGGAAGTTAACTATCAATTCAGGAAAAACTAAAATTGTCATCTTTTCAAAAAGAAAATGTGCAAGAACTCCCCATTTTACATTATGTAACGTAGAATTAGAAATACTGGAAGGGTATACCTATCTAGGATTATTCTTTAATTTTAGTTGTAGCTTCTTTAAAGCAAGGAAAAAAATTGTTGAACAAGCACAGAAATCAGTGTTTGCTGTCTATAAGAAATTGAGAAACATATCTTTACCAGTTGATCTACAATTGAAGATATTTGATTCATTAATCATGCCAGTTCTTCTGTATTCATCAGAAATATGGGGTTTTGAAAACACAAATATTATAGAAAAAATCCATCTTCAATTTTGTAAATATATACTAAATGTAAGAAAAAGAACACCAAATTTCATTATTTATGGTGAGCTTGGAAGATACCCACTAGACATCGAAATTAAATGTAGAATAATAGTATTCTGGTATATGTTGATTACCTCTAGTAAGTTATCAAGTACAATTTATAAGCTTATGTATACATTACATGAAAATGGAACTATGTTATTTAAATGGCTCGCATATGTTAAAGATATTTTTTCTCAAACTGAACACTCGATGTCAATAATCAAATTTATAAAATGTACTACTGTGCTTTATGTGTTATTCATGAGTGTTACAATGCAAAATAAAACATAAATTTAGAACGAACTAATAAAAGAGGTTTTTAAAGTTGTTATTTCAACGGACTTTATTATGAGCTGTTCCATCAGTCAAACAGTTTAGCGTTTCGTGAAGGTATTGTGATATTTTAAATGTTGTTATTAATTATCAAAAAAAAACCTAAAACTGAAAAAGTTAAATTTTTAAATTCTTTCCGTAAGAAAATTGTCTATGAAATATAATCATAAAAAGGCGAGAAGATCCGTATGTAGCAGCTAAAAGACCTCTAATATAGTATTAGTACTACAGTTATTGATATTCTGCTATCGAAATCTGTATTTGTTTACATCGGTCACGGCATTCAGTTGTTTAATTATTATTGTTTAAATGTATGAGGTTGTAGTATGAAGATGTTAAACAGTGTAGCACATAGGATTTTAGTCTTTTTTCTAAAAACTGCTGTTTCATTATTTTATAACGATTTGATTAAATATTATCTAAACAGAACTCAAATCAATCACTTTTGTTAAACAGACTTGTATAAAACGTTTGATTTAGCCTGTTGTTAACCACTTCCTTATAATAAATTGAAAACAGGTCTAAAAGTCTTGTCTTTTTTCTGCTATTTTTAGCTTACCTTGCGCGAAGTGAAACAGACTTACATGTACATGCATTCCTGAAGTATCCCTGTATTCATTTTCATCGAGAAGAATGTAAGAAAATGTATCAAATCTCCAGAATAGTGCCTTATATTTCCACTGAATAAATCATAACTGAGCACAAAGCCAGCAAGGCTGTAAAGCAAGTACACTATTCAAAAAACTACTGCAGGCTCTCACTCAGTTAGTCTGGATTGATTGTATCAATAGCCTTGTTAGCTTCATGAATGATTGTAAAATATCCAATGAAAATGCATGCAATTATTCTTGAGATTTGAAGCATTTTCTTACGTTTTTCTCGATAATGGTGAAAACACGGATACCTCAGGAACGCATGTACAGGTAAGTCTTTTTCAAGAATTATAAAATATTCAATGCAATTTTGTGCCACTCAAATTCTGTCTTCAAAATGGTGTGTCTACATTTGTCCAGAATTATGTAAAACCTCGATCTGACGTAACAAAACGATTCGAGTAGGGTCTGTCAGCAAACATCCGCGCATGTACAGGAACTTGCCTGTACCGGAAGAACTTAACTGTACCGCGGAGCGTTCGCTTTGCTTATGAAACGATATAACCACCCTGTACAGTCAGGGATGTAAATTGTAGTGATG